AGCAGAGAGAGAGAGAGAGAGAGAGAGAGAGAGAGAGAGAGAGAGAGAGAGAATCGCTGAGCTCTGCAGGCTCTGTGCGCATTCAACGGTGTCATCTGAAATGCAATGATGAGCTAGCGCCCGCTGTAGGGCGGTGCTGGTATTACACCCCTCCCCCACCCATTCCCAATGTCCCTCAGTTTACAAGAAACAAACAGGAAATAAAAAGATTTAAAGAAACAAAAAGAAAAAAGAAAGAAACAAAAAGAAATCCCCCCACCCCCCAACTGGGCCTGCCAGCACACCGTTGACTTCAAGTGTGTGACAGCGAGTGTGTGTGTGAGTGAGTGTGTGAATCAGTGTGTATGCGGGCGTGGCCGCCAGAGTCTCTGAGAATATGTGAGAACTGGTGTGTGTGTGTGTGTGCGCGCGCGGAGGCTCCATGGGGGTGAGGGGGACTCCTAGTATTTCTTCCCCGGGACGAACTCCTTCGCTTCGGGATTCAAGATGCTCTTCCTCTGCAAAAGAAAAAAATAAATTAAAAAAAAGAGTGAACATATTCATTTTAACCTAAAACGTTCCGAGTGTTTCATGAATTCTCTTGTTGTGAAACGAGATGCGTCTGACTCACCGCCACTTCCTCCAGGTTGTTATGGTGATCGCTGACCGACAGGCCGTTGAGCTGCTGCTGCAGCTGCCCCACCCCCTGGTTGTTGAGGTCACGTGAAGGGATGAACCAATCCTGGTCCTCCTCCTCCAGCATTTCCTGGAAGCAGCGCTCTAAGAACTCCTGCTCCAGCAGTTCCTCTTCCACCTGGGAGACAACAGGGGGGAGAAAATAAAAAGAGAGAGAGAGATGAGTGACAGTGGGGGAAAAAGAGCAAGGACATGTGGGTGGACAGAGGAGGAATATACAAGAGATCATTTGCATGACAAGTAGATGGAAGGCTTCCCCAAAGAGACGTCTCCTCAGTAATGTGGTGGCGTTAAAATACAGGACTCAACCAAGCAATCAAGAGCAAGGGATACAGAAAGATGAAAGGGGAACACTGAATGTTGGAAGATGATGGTAACTTATTAGTTCCCCCTGCGGAATTTTCCAGGATGACACTTGGTTCGGAAAAAAAAAAAAAAAGACGAAGATTGTGGCACGAGAGACGGTATGTGTATGGGACAACAAAGGACAACAAAGGACAGAAACTATATAGAAAGAAGGAACAAGAGTAGACTGAGACCATGAAAAGAATGAAGGCATTAAGTCTCAATCTCTAAATTGTCTGCGATGTGCTTTAAGTCTTTTAAAACATACTATGAGAACACACACCTGTCTGTTATACTCTTCTTCATTCTCCATCCACATGTACTCAGCGAACGGGTTGGCGTCGCTGCCCTCTCCTGCGTGCCCATTGGCCACTGGCTCCTTTCCCTCCTTGCCCGGAGCGCCACCTCCCGGTGTCTTGGCCACCTCTGGACCGCTCATCTCAGCCGGCTCTGGACGGGGCGACACAAGAAGACATAAATAAATAAAAAAAATCAAGTTCAGAACTTCCTTCAGGGTATGGTATACTTATTGAAAATATTTTTAACAGACTTTATTACATTGTTCCCTTCTTGCAGCCAGATATGCTTGACTTGTCTCCTACTCTTCAGCCCACAGCTGGACATTATCTAAGAATCAAGGCTGCACCGTCTCAGCCTGGGATCCAAACAGACACCGCTATGGCTGAAAGACTGCACCCACGGGTAGATTAGTCTTCATCCAGTCTCACTATTCACAAACAATAAAACCGCCAAAGAACAATTCTCCATATCTCATGATCTTAAATAAGAGACGGATAGAAAGCTGCATCACCAGCTGGGATGGATCCCGCTCTCTAAAACCACTCTGTGACATCTACAACTGTTCTTACCACAAACACCTAAATGAGTGTCTGAGGGCTTAACGGAGCTGTTGGCATTTTATGACTCCAATCAATCGCTTTTCAGGGGGATGAACTGCGGTGGTGTGGTAAAAGGCCACACTGCATTATTATTAGCAAGGAAAACACACACACACACTATGAAGACATACAGTGACATTCCCAGGCAAACAAACAGCCATAGTGTTAAATCAGTTGGATTACATTCATAAAAACAGAAAATATATCACAATGTCAACCTCATTTCCATACAGTTTAGCGTCGGTGTGTGGAGTGAAACAATCATCTCAAAGATTTTAATCTAAGATTTAAAGATGTAAATCAAAGTAAAAAAAAAACAAAAAAAAAAATAAAAAAACAGGAAATGTGACTGTTTGATTGAAACAGTAAATCAATACAAGAGGAAAGCACAACGCCGTTATCTGCTGTAGCCGCTGTATGAGCGCAGTGCAGAGTGGCGGCTATGAGCTAGCCCACATGCACCAACATGCATTAAAAAGGCCTCCGTGGTCGGCCCGGCTATGTAAACAAAGCGAGGAGGAGCTCAGATAACATCACACAGTCTCTGCTCAGGTCGACACAACTCCCCTATGTCTTCACATAGATAACAGTTGTTTGCTGCTTTATTAGTGCTAGGAATGTCGAATTTAGCACATTGAGAGACAGTGAATCGGTGAGTCATCGTATGTAATGGTGCTGCATGTTGCAACGTAGAGGCTGCAGGTGTTACATGTCTCTCCTGCTGCTCCCAGATGACTAAGATCCGGCTCAAACGGTAAAAAAACTAAAGTTCAGCACAGATGTTTAACTGACACTTTCTACAGTGGCATTAAATTAGTACTCTTGATGTGCTATGGGTACTTTCTGATGGGAAGCCATTAATATGAATGGAAACACTGTCATAAGACAACAGAGTACAGTCAGCTTCATGTCACGAACTTCCATCCAATCTGACTTCTTCTGGTGTTTAAATAGCTTTTACTTTCTGCCACACACACACACCAGAATTCATTGTGAAAGAAATGGTGATTAGATGATTATTTGTGCATTCCTAATTCTGTGACAAAGAACTCCTGCTCTGATGAGAAATGCCCACTATAATGACATAATCCTCATACTGCCAGCCAGCTCCAACAGACTTGTCATGACTCAACCACAGTGGCAAGGAGAAAAAAAAAAAAAAGCGATGATCTCAACCGAGCCGCGCACACAGCCCCAGGTTCAGCCTGATGCAGGCGCACCGTGCTGGACTTGAGAGGATGAACTCCCAGCAGCTTCACGGGAACAACCTGATTTCCACAAACACGGGACACAATGTTAACGTAGACACCGACTCCCGACGTTTCTGTCTCGGTCAATGTGACACAATCGACACACGGGAGGCGAGCCGCTGCCAACTGTACACAGTGATGGTACGGACACGCTGTCCTTCCAGAGAAGTTCAAATAAACATTTAAGTAGGTTAGTAGACTACAGGGTCTGCCTCGCTCGAAGCCGTCAGTGTTTCGGTCTATCTGGGGACAATGATAAAGCAGTCTAATTATGTAGTGCAGACTTAAACAAGATGTTAGTGACTAAGACAAATAGGAGGCAGGGAAGGGCAGAGAGGGAGGGCAGGAAAGAACATTTTGTAAAAGAATACGACAAGCCTAAATTAAACTCTGCACTGGTTGAGCAAGGTGTTGGAAGCCTGCTGGTGTGAGTGTGCCAGTGTGTTCAACCACTTCTACTGCTGTCCATAGAGTGTTATGGAACAACAAATACTTAACATTAATTTCCAAAGTTTACCAGACAGTTTAAACAAATTCACAACACTTTAATATAATCAGGGATAGGAGTAAGAAGTTTTTTCCAAGATGTCTATACATCTATAGCAAAATGAGAGATTTCTTCAAAAAAGTATGAAATCGATGACGCTAAAAAAAGTATGAGAATCTCAACCCTTTAAATCAGTTATGAGTCACTGTACACAGGCCTCTGTTCAGCGACACAAGAGTGCACAGCGGGTGAGTCGTCGTGAACAAGGAGACAAGGAGCACTGTGCCATTATGTACCGCATGTAGCACTTAGCATGTTCGCGTTGCATAACCATGTGTTGGTCACCATGTAATATTTAGTTAGCATCCTTCACGCCTGCAAGTGTGATTTGATGAGGGTGAAGGATAAGCAGTGGAAAGGTAAAACCTGCAGGAGGACTCCAGAACATAAAATAAAATAAAAATCAAAGCGCTAAGACCTCATGGTGTCATCTCAAACACTTTATTGGAGACGATGTCAACATTTTCTGACTGGATGATCCTGCAAATCCTTAACCTGACATCTATATTCTCTCTCAGGAGTGGATAACATTCAGGATAACGGAGGATTACTGTAATAGATTGACATTTTAGAGAATAAACAATTACACACAAAAAAGAAAGCATTATTTAACTGATAATGTAAAGAATTTTGGTGGCAGTCCTAAAAAACAAAGATCTCCCAAGTCAACTTATTCATCCTAGCAATAAACCGTTTGAACAGTGAAGTAAGTGTGATAACAAAATAAGCTTATGTAACGTTACAAATACCAGAAAGAAAGAACAGTTGTTCATAAGTCTAAATATTAAACCACAGGTGAAAATGTTCGCTGACGAGCTTGTTAAAATATATTTTTGTTGATTTATTAGAAGAACGCTTAAGATACATTGTGTACCCGCATGTAAAGGGGAAAAAACAGTTAAAAATCTCCCAGAGATCCAATCTGCGGAGCGACAAAAACCGGAGGACACGAGAAACCGAAGACAGATTTAAGCAACTTTATCAACTGTTCATAATAATAATAGCTTTGAGATTGACATAATTAACCGCTTCATGACAGATTATGCAATGTAACAGTGTGCTGTGTGTAATGGGAGCTGTGTCGTAGTGGCCTGTAGCATGCTAACGGAGAGCTAACAGGCTAAACCAGGTGTTCGGGCCTACCTGGAAAGTTGGTGAATGGATTGGACGGTCTGAGCCGAGGTAACGCTAATGCTAAGTGGCTAGTTCGCGTTAGCTGCAAACAGATGGACACACATAGCTGTGCTGTCAATGGACGGGCCTAAGGTGAAAGCTATCCCAGTAACAACAAAGGGTGTCGGGCTAGGTTATTTTTATTAACGTCGGGCACGGATTTTAACGTGAAACCGAATAAAACGCGAAAACAGAGCCGCAAACGAAAAGGACACGGTGAGATATTATAACATACGAACCACACGCGGAGGTCAAACCCAAAACTCCATTCCCGTTCGGATGCTTGAGGCCAAACAAAGTCGTCTGTTGAGCTAGCACGCTGCTACAGCATGGCAGCATCACCGAAGCAGGTCACCACAACAAGCCTTACGGGATTACGACACCTTTACACGCACACGAGACGAACAGTCACGCGTTTAAAAGTTTAAATTACCTGGCATTGTGCTCTCGGTGCTCGCTTCGAAGTGTAACGTTACACAAACTTATAGCAAGTACACGGCGAAGAGTGCGTGGTCGTCGTTTCTCCAGTGGGGATTACTCTGCGCTGCGATGCAACGTAGCTCAAGTTAGCTAAATCCTGTTAGCCACCTTGCTAACGTTAGAAAGCTGGGTCGGTCACGTGGTCTGGTGCTGCATTCACTTTCTTTCATGAATGTAGGAATTACAAACAAGCAGACATGACTAATTCTCAAATGTAAAATAAATACCAATCACAATTTCACACAACCTAAGGTGACATCTTCCCATGACTTGATTTATCCGACCAAACCCGAACCCAAAATAAATTCAGTGTACAATGGTTAAAAAAGAGCTGAAATAATTATCACATTAATGGAACTGGAAGAAATTATGCTTTGTTTTTTGCTTGATAAATGACCAAAACATTGATTCATCAAATAAAAAATATATAGTTTTAGCTCTAGCTTTGAGCAGACTGTAATCAAAAACTAACAAAATACGTTTAGAAGCTTTTCTTTTATCAATACAGTATGAAGAGTTTGGTCTAATGTACTCCATAACAGTGCTTTGAACATCTGCTTGAGTACTTTATGTGGGATATTGGAAACAAGAAGCATGTCATAATCTATGTATAGTGATATTGGAAAATACTTATTGATACTGTGAATTCAACCATATCTACCAGCCCCAGTTCAGATGTCTGAATTCATCTGAATAGCGACAATATTCAAAACATGCCGATTTCAATTTGATGGATTAACAGCATCCACACTAACAAACATTAGAACGTAGCGTGCAGCCAGGTACCAGGTGGACGGTGTGTGTGAAGAGCAAATGAAAAAGACGCCGTCAGAAACAAGTGATGTTTGTTCAGTGTGCAGATAAATATGTGCAGTGATGCACAGAAACGGACGTAGCCCTGATATACAAGCTGCTACACCACAACATCTTGTTATATCCCACCACAGTGTTTCCATTCCTATCCTATTTTGTCTATATGTGGGTAGACTAAATATGACAAAAACTCTCATAAAATGCATTCCCACAGCACCAAAATGCCCATAAAGTTGAAACAAACACCTCACTAACATTCATGAAGGAACAACTGTAGAGATGTTGTATTAGACAACATTAGTTGTAGCTTGGTGTACATAATTAAGTGGAGAACACGACTTCTTTTTGCAGACCTTGTTTTTCTGCTATTGTTAATACATCAACACATTACCAGGGCTGCAACTACGGTTATTTCCTTATCAGTTAAAATGTGTTAAATTCCAAATTCAGAGCATTCATATAGCAGCAAACAACTATATGTAATGTAAACTTAAAGGGGAGTAATGGCGTCCTGATCAGAGAATGAAGACACACACTCTCAGTGTGTGTTGTAATCCGAACGTCTCTGTGCTTTGTTTACATAGCTGGTGCGTGCATGTGCGTGCATGCGAGTGCATGTGCGTGCATGCGCGTGCATGCGAGTCTCAGTGTGTGTGTGTGTGCCCCACTGGTAGCTAATGGCTGCCGCTCTGCTCTGCTCTGCACTCATACACCAGTCACTGCTAATAAGTTACGCCATCCGGACTAAGGTGTCATCGCAAAAGCATAACGCCCACCCTCCTCCGGTCCCGACCATACTATTCTTTCAATCAATTTATCCAGCAGATCCCAACCTGGGCGTCAGGTCACAGGATAAATGTGGAGAAATATTTAAAATATTAAAGTGTTCAACACAAATGATCTTAACTTCTTTATTATAAACTACTGGATAGCTTTACTCAAAGACATATGAAACTCTCTAAGGCCAGGTGTCAAACTAAAAAGCCACAAAGGTTGAGAACCAATGAACCAATTCAGCGGTACACGTCACAATAACGTTGAGAGGGGAAAATCGGGGCTCACAACGGGTCCTTGAACGCAACATGTTAACAAACATCCTTCAAGCTCCGCCAAAGCACCACTACACTTTTTACTCTCATCCTAAACTAAAAATGCCTGCGTGGCTTCGGAAATAAAATAATTCTCTCCATTGATAACAAATAATCTGCACTTTAATTTACTTTTTTTTGTGGAGGGCTAAATGACTAACAGTATAAACAGCAGACTATTAACCCACAAGGTCTGTTGTTCAAATCAGTGTATATATAATATAGTATTACTGATCTTTGTAAATATATACATCCAACATTTAACACTGCATATATCGATGAAGTTGGGAGTGTTCCGGTGTTCTACCACAATACAACTATTTCTAATGTAGGAGATGACTCTTAAGTTGGTTTGTCACATTTTCACAAGTGTTTTCTTCCTCTCAGGCTGTTTGTGGTCTTAAGTGGTGCAACACCATAAGTGACGATATCCGTGAAATGTGTGCAAGTTACTAAAACAAATGCTCTTCTACAGGATACACACATTCATCATTTGCGTTTAAACGAACATTGTAAGCCGGTTAGCGCTTGTTGTTCTCGCATGTCTTTCTTTCTTTCTTTTATGTAGCAGACAGCTAGCTCCACTAACAACAACAACTCACCACACAACTTCAAGTGCTTATAGAGGGGGAATCCGCAAACCAGCTGTCGGGGGGAGGGGGGGCGGCTTTTTTCCGGTCCCGGACGTCACAGGAAAACCACACAGTGAAGAAATTCTTCTAATAATCTCCAGTACGCCAAAACAATAGGTGTATCCTTTGTCGGCTAGCTCGCGTAAGTGGCTAAAAACGGATAAATCCACTGTTTCTCTGACGAAACGTCGAGGGGTAAAAACGTTGTGTCGTGGGTCGTGTTTGTCCAGCTGTACACTTCAGTCATTGGTTGAAACCTACGTCAGCAACGTTTCCTCGCAATTCTATTGGCCCAGACGACCTCACGCCCCGCCCCACCCCAACTCACGTAAGTAAACAAAATATATCCCATTTTTCTCGCGGCCCCTTTTTTTATAATCAATATGACCAGTTAATATTTGACAACGTGGCTGTTTTAACCCGGTCCGACCGTTCTTTAACAGACAAAGCTCTAGTTGTTTGCTTGTTGAGGTTGTTAGGCCGAAAAGGCAACAAGAGGGGAGTAAAAGTACAGCAGATTAAAGAATATCTTATGTGAGCAGCGTGCACATGCTTTTCGGGCGAGGACATCCCCAGTGTGTGCCTCATCTATCACTGTTACTCATACACATCTGTTTGTCAGAAATATAATATTTGATACGTATTTGTTTGTAGTCTTGAAGTAGTGTTGAAATACCCTCACAGCAATTTGTTGTAATCTATCATTAAACTTTTACACAAAGACAGTGGGCCCTTTGTGCTTATTTGATCATTAATATCTGACTATCACGAGTCAAAAGAAACTTTAAAAGCACATGCCTGGTGCTGATCATGTGAAAAACCTAAAGTCACAATGCAAAAACAATGCTGTTTGCTCACAGATAAGTAATTATAGAGCTGAACTAATAATTTAAGGCAATCTAGACATTCCTGGTGTATGCTGGAATTTATTGTTCTTATATTGTTACATTATTGTGTTGAAAATAATCAAATAATGGACAGTAACATCAATATCGTCAACATACATGTCAGTTGTTATTAGGGATTCTTTATTGTGCCGTGTACTAAATTTCTATCTACCCTCTGGTCAGTGGGCATTTACATGGTATTTCAGAAAAACGTTCAGCTCTGTGACTATAATGTATACATGATACACGGGAAGTAAAAAAAGGCTATTAGTTTTATGCAGAGAACAGTCAAAATTTACCTCTTAAATGACATAATTTTAAAGGTATAGCCCTTATGTCTACTCTAAAAGAGCAAACTATTTATTTATTTATGAATGTACTGAATATCAATGCATACACCAGTGCTTCAACGTAAACACCTTGTTACTCTGGAGGATTGTGTTGTAATGATTTCAAAACACTTTAAACAATGTGCCCATGTCCAACAACTCTGCTCCACCCGTTTTCATAACGCAGACTTAGAGAACTGACAATGTTTTCAGTAATGTGAGCTCACTCTTTCTGACATAACCTTGATGGAAAAGCAACATTTTACAGCCCATTCTAAAAAACTGCAGTTTAGTGAAAACATTAGTCGATTGTACATTTAGTCATCCTCCGGTTGTGCTCTCAAAATAGCCATTAACTTATTGGCAGCACCCACAGATAATTGAGGTCATATACTTCATTAGCCTTCTGACACTTAAACACTACTTCTCTAAGGCTGAACTGCCACAACTAAATAAAGAATCCATGGCTCATTTGTGCCACATTCTCATTCAGCCCCTGTCCTATATGCATTTCATAACGGCTGTGGATCAACCCATGTGTCCTTGTAAACCAGAGGGGTTGTCCCGAGTCAGCGGTAAATAAGAGGGTGCATTACTCTAACACCACAGCGGAGGGCGACTGTAACACACAGCAGGGTTTTATGGGCAGTGTGGTGTGTCCTCTGGCAGAAACCGTATTGTGAATTGTCAATGCAGATCGAACTTGTGTAGCTGTAACCAAGGATTTAAATGCCCCCCCATAACCACTAATGCCTGTTGAAGTGGATGTTAACTGAAGTACTCGACAATAGTGTGTCTGAAACTGATTTTCTGGAGCTGTTATCAGCCCTAAGCTTACAAAGATCACAAAATTAGGGTCTATGTTATGCACAGTTTTTCTATTAATGACTGGACAGGTAAATATCACATCTTGAGAGTTACAGTTTACTCCGTGGTCCAAACAAGTAACTACACTGCAGAGTCTTCCTTGCATCTTGCACTGCAGCACTGCTAGTTAACACTTCACCGTAAATTGTCACTGTGACAGATTTCTAACTTGCTGGATTATTTCTGCATTGTCACAGCTGGATGCAAGATGCATGCTCGTGCATATGAGTTGAGAAGACGATGTGGACATTAAATCAGGAACACCAGATGTTCTTCAGAGTGTCACCTCAAATCTGTGTGTGTGTGTGTGTGTGTGTGTGCAGTTGATTTATCCATTCTGACCTGCGATACCTTTCTTTGGGAAACTCATAAAGGGCTGCAGGAATGGTTTCTGCTCTGATCACTCGTGAAAAAGGCGGTTAGAGACGTCTTTGGGTAAAAAAAATAGTTGGATATGTGAGACAACTCATATTGCAGATTTAATACACTGCCCACACCCACATGTATTGTCATGGGAGAACACAGCAATAGCATGCATGCACACACACCAACTGTTCTCACATTCACTATTGCGTTGCAGACGTCTTTCCTTCTCCCCACTGCTCTTCTCTCTCTCCCCTGTTATAAATGTCACCCTCAGTGTATTTGCTGTCATAAATCATAAATTCCCTTCCTGTACCTCTCTCTCCCCCCTCGCTCTCCCTCTCTTTTTCTTATACAATAGCCCAGACTTGATGTCAGATGGCAGCCATGTTTAAAGAGTGTGTTTATTATGTGTGTGAGTGTGTATCTTCTACCCCAGCCTTTCCTGTGGCCCCACCCGAGGCTTCACCGGTAAGTTTGTCCAATGCCACTTGCAGGGACACATACATGCATACACGCACAAGAACATACGACACACCCTTCCGTGCACATGAGCAGGAAGTGGCCCGTTAGCACGCACTCCTAGGTACAATATTGCCTTCGTTATTTTCTGCACAAACTCAGTATTCCTGCAGGTGTACAAGTGCTCCTAGTCTGAGGTCTTTTTAACTCTCACCACCGAGGGGCTATCTGTACAACAAGCAATAGGCCTACAGTATGATTTTGACAAGGACTTTGGTGAACATGGAAGTATATTACTGCTTCACATTTGTTACAGAAACCTTTAAGAAAATAATGAGTCACTAAACACATGCAGATATTTCTACTCCCCCCTCTAATTGTTCCCCTGTGTTTTACAACCAATGTTCAGACTCCAGACCCCTCGTGTGTTTTTATATGTTTGCTCTGAATTCATGCAGTACTTGTGCAAGACGATTTGTTTTACAAGAGGTTGTATAATTATTACCACTTTATAACCCGTGCACAGGCTGAGTGGATCTGCATATTCATGCCATTATTCACCCTTGAAAGAAATGGGAAGAATGACATTTTTCCAAATGGCATGCGAATGTGCAGAGCATCTGTCACTGCTAAACTTGAACTTGACACTTTATTCTTGACCTTAAACAGCTTAGTTAGATGAGAATATTTATAATACTCTCCTGTCTGTACGGTAAATATGAGGCCAGAGCCAGTTAGCTTAGTTTAGGGTTAGACTAAAATCAGGGGGAAGCAGCTGGCCTCTGCACCCCTAAAGCTCACAAATTATGCGCTGTTTCTAATTAAAAAACTTTATTAAAAAACAACGTATGCATTATAATTTTATGTGAAAGGAATAGTTTCATATTTTGGGGACTATG